GCGTTGTACTCGTTTTCCCTTTAACCAACGGTTTTGTCCCGTAACGTGGGTTTTCCTGGTAAGGTTTAGTTAATGAGGCAGCACTCAATGCGTATTACAAGATATATGTACTCTTTTTCCTTCACTAAGCTTTTTCCCACTGGGTTTTCCAAGAAAGGTTTTAACGAGGCACATTATCTTTCAAATGAACATCCAAGGAGGAGTGTTATAAATAAAATGAATGTATATGGATGTTCATTTAATTCATCCATACATTCTATACAATGTACTACTTGGATAGATGTACCTATTAATTCCTAGGATGTATCTAGTAAGTTTTGGGTGTATCTTGTATAGTATAAATAGGATATTCTTTGCCTATGGGAGAACACACAAGAAACACACTTGAATAAGATAACTTCTACATTCTCCTCTTATACATCTTGTCTCTATTACTATATTCTTCTATTTTGCTCTCATTTCTTAATATATATATATATATATATATATATATATATATATATATATATATATATATATATATATATATATCATGCATTTCATGTCAGTCGCCCTCAGAGGCACTCGGATGTTAGAGGATGTATGTTCTCTATCCCTGCTTATATTAATCTTCTTATTTATGCCTTCTTGCCTTACATACTCGGTACTTTATTCGTAATGGCGTCCCTTTTATTTGTGGACGCTGCATGTCGTGCTGCAGGTTCTAATAGACAGGTAGACGTAGCTCCCCCACCACAGTAGGCTGCCCAGTTAAGCGGTTATTGGCGAGATCCCTTCTCCATACTTGCCGTGGTCTTGGTATGCATTTTTTTATAAACATTATGAGTATGCCGGGGCCTTGTTCCGGCAATGTTGCAGCACTTATGTTCCTTTAGAGGCTCATAGACAGGTGTCGACTCATGTATAGTTTGGATTGCTTTGTCGGCTGATTTTTGTTGTATAGTCTCTCATGGCGGCTTGTCAGCTCTTCATGACAACCTTGTCGATCCATGTTACGTATGTTCATCCCATTATCTGTCATTGTTGATTGTTCATATTCATGTCTACCATTTATGTTGATCTCGTCGACCCTTATAGATAATAAGGAAGGTTAGATAAAATGTACGTTGGTACTCGGCAAGTATGGTCTGGGTGCTAGTCATGACCCTCCAGTTTGGGTCGTGCTCCGCATAGTAAATTCATCTTGAAAATCAATTCACCAAAATAATAATAATAATAATAATAATAATAATAATAGGAAAGTAAAATAGAAAATGACGGTAAAGCAATAAACTAATGAAAACAACTCAATCCTCGAAATCAGTATATCCAAAAATATCAATCCTCAGAACCCCATATGATACATACTGAAAGCTAACACAATACAACAATGAATACAACACACTCAATCTGTTGCGGCGCGCTACCCAAACCCACCGTACAAACACAATCCTCCCTTATTTCACCATATCAATATCAAGAATGACATTAAAATTCGTTATGGCGCGCAAATCGATCCCACCATATCAATATCAAATCATCCTTATTTCACCATATCACAAAATTCTCTCTTATTCCACCCGTTGCGGCATGCAACCCGATCCTATCGTATTATTTTTTTATCAGTATCATAATCCTCCTTTATGCCACCCACTGCGGCGTGCAACCCGATCCACAAGCAATTTATATTAACAACAACAACAACAATCCAATAACTCAATGTACAAGAATTTCTACAATCATAGGGTATGAGTATACAGCAATAAAGGAACCACGTAATAATCAGAGGAATGCAACAATTATTACAAAACAACATGACAAGTGAAGCACGTGGCAACTAAGATGTGCAAGTACAATAGTTAAGGCAAGTAGCAGATAAGCACGGAGCCATGGAAGGGACTCAACAATTAAGGGGTCACAAGACAATAAGGAAAGAAACACTTTCAACTAAAGCATACATGACCAAAATAACAAGTAAGGGGAAGAACAAGTGCCAACAACGTCAAGTAGAGCATGTAAGAGTAGATTAACGATGAAAGATATCACATGTTATGACAATTCAATTTAAGGCATGGAAAGTGTCTAGATACTCGAAACTGGTCATATACCACTTATGGTCGTGTACCCACTCGTCACCCCCCGTATACGACTTGCACATAGCACGAATAGCACAATTAACCCAAAGTCTAAGGGGTAGCTTCTCCCACACAAAGTTAGGTAGGATACTTACCTCATTTCGGCCAAATCAGTACTCAAATTAGATTTTTCCTTTACGAATTCGCCTCCGCTCGGTTCAATCTAGCCAAAGATGACTTAAATACATCAAACAATGTAAGAGAAAACAATTTCGATTAACAAAGCTACGATCTTTATACAATTTCCAAAAAGTCAATCTCGTGCTCGTTCGACCAAAACCCGGGTTCAAGGGTTAGGTCTTGACTACCCATAGCCCCACGAGCCCATATATATATTTTATTTTCAAATCCGAGTCCAATTCGACTCTCAAATCCCAAATCTTCATTTTTTTCAAAACTTTGAAAAAAAACTCTAAATTTTCCCTTAGATTCTCATGAATTTTATGTTAAATCTAATGTATAATCATGAAATATAATTGAAAATTGATTGGAGCCACTTACCCAAGGGTTTGGTATGAAAATCCCTATACAAAATCACCTTCCATCGAGGCTAGGGTTCAAAACATGATAAAATGAAGCTAAGTCTCGGAATACTCAGCTATAAGCAAGTTGCAGATGTTGCATTTGCGACATGGGGTTCGCAAATGTGAACCCTGCAAAAGCGAACCAGGGAAATCTCTGCTAAGTCGCATTTGCGACCCAAAACATCGCAAATGCGAAGACAGGTGCCATCACAAAGGTGGCAGACATCTTCGCAAAAGCGAACAGCCAACACTCACAAATGCAAGGAATATCTTTGCAAATGCGAACTCTTCCCCAACAATCCAGTTTAGCAAATGTGAGGACTACTTCGCAAATGTGATAGTCACATTTGTGACAAAAACATCGCAAGTGTGATGGAACCAACACCGGCACTCAAAATTGAACAAAAATCAATCTGAAACTCACCCGAGCCCCCGAGGTTCCAAACCAAACACCCACACCAGTCCAAAAATATAACACGAACTCGCTCGTACGATCAAAACATCAAAATAACCTCTAAAATCACGACTCAAATGCCAAAACGCATGAAAATCCCCATGAACTTCAAGAACTTTTAGAATCGCAACCAAGCATCCGAACCATATCAAATCAACTCCAAATGATACCAAATTTTGCAGACAAATTCCACATGACGAAACGAACCTATTCCAAGTCCCGAAACCAAAATACGAACCCGGTAGCTTTAAAGTCAAACCATGGTCAAACTTAGGAAAATTCCAAACTTTTAAATTGCCAACTTGTGTTGAAATCTTCTAGAAACATCCAAATACAAATCTGGGCATTACACCCAAGTCAAAAATCACCATCCGGGCCTATCGGAACCATCAAAACTCTAATCCGAAGTCAAATACTCAAAAGTCAAACCTTGGCCAATTCTTTCAACTTCGAGCTTCTCAAATGAGAGTCACCCCTTAAAATCAGTTCCGAACCACTCAAAAACCAGAGCCGATGATGCACGCAAGTCATAATACACTATGTGAAGTTACTCATGAGCTCAAACTGCTGGACTGGACGCAATTGCTCAAAACGACCGGCCGGGTCGTTACAACGAGGATAAAGTGTCAACCAAGGGATTAAATCTAAAGACCCCTTTAAGCCATTTTCATTTCGCAATTTTGCGGACTTAATTGAAGTGCCAAAAAAGAGTTTGGATCTCAAGCAGACTATAATGGGGGAAAAAGGCCTATAGTTAATGAACATAATAGCGTCACAGTCACAGCAGTTCTGATGATTTCATCCACGTTGCTCTCGGAATGCAGAAAGGGACATTGTGAACATCCAAACGAAGTTTGTCTCATTTTCTTCAAACTACTGCATTCAGGTGGTTTCCAATCGTATGTCAATAGTAAAATCAATGTAGGAAAGCAATCTAATCTTTTTCTGAAGATGAGAATACAATCTGATCTTTACAGAGAAAATCTTTGTAATAACACAATCTGATCTTTATATATCTTCCTACACGTATATCTCATAAAATGGTCCATAAACAATACATCGCAAACTCCGTAACCAGAAAGCTACTCTAGGGATGTGGGAAAGTTCTCAAAAAACAGAACTCTTCTCTTTTTAGTTACAACAAAATATCCGGAACAGGATCTTGGCTTAAGATAACAAACTACAAAAAAAAATCACATTCTCTTACAATAAAATACATGAACAGGATCAAACTGATTACATAAATCTTCAAGACTAACAAGTGAACAAATCCAGGTTATCAATCCCTGGGAAGAGAAATGCTGGATTTTGAGGGAATGGATAGATTGGTCTCGAGCATAAAAGAAAGATCATGCATCTGCGACATTATACCTTCTATATCCATATCATTCTTTGATGAAATCGATTCACCAATAATGTCTGCATTCTCTGAGGCATGTTCAGCGTTGTCACCAACCTTGTTTGGGGTATCAACGGCACTAAAAGATGTTAAATGAAATGTAAGAAATTGTTGATTGAACTCAAATTTAGGAATTAACAGTTAAATAACAAAACAAAAAAACACAAATACAATCATGATTTGACATGGCAACCTCTCCAAGTATTGCCTCCTATGTATTTCTCAGTTTCTTATTCTTCATTTAGAGTCACAATGGGACCTTCTTCCCACTTGAAATGTTAAGTCTAGATATCTTTAAATAGACATAAGCTTTCACAGTATCACTATTGAACATTCTCAGCCATTATATACAGTGCCCTAAATGGTTCAATAGATACATCAGGGGAGTCAGAAGGTAACTTTCTTTTCTTTTCTTCTTCTCAAAAATAAAAGAGGTCATAGGTATCTTATCTTTGTTTTGCCAACTAGCTAAAATCCCCGTTTCCATCTATTTCTGGATCTCTTTCTTTTACTGCTTCTTCTCAGGTAGTCTACTGCCCTGCATCCCCAAGTTGACCCCTCTGAAGAACAATAGTCAATTTCAAAATGCAACTTGGATACTCTAGCCAAATCCCAAGGTAACATCTCTCTCAAGAACAATAGATCTTAATGAGCAAACTAGTAAACACCAACTAGAATATGAACACACACAGATCGAATCTAGTCTCTCAAATGTGCCTTCTTTATCTTTCTTTTTTTCTCTTTTCTTCCATTTTTTGGAGGCAAGCGGAGGCTGAGTTGCTCTGCTCTCATGAAATCTCCAGAATAAAAAAAGAAAATCAATTTAAGGTCTAGCATCAGTAAGTCAACAGCTACTTGTTATTTTTCAAGGAAGAAAGCTGGATAAATAGATAATAAAGATCTATTGAGTCAATCACCCTGGAAATATCTATAATATCTGTTGATTTTTTTTTCAAAACTAGGTTGGATTTTTTTTTTGATAATGGTAACATGTATAACTAGGTTGGATTTGAATCATCGTTTTTGTTATTGTTGTGAGTTTACCTCTCTGGGACAAGGAAACACGTAACTCTCATCCGGGGAAGACGGAAATAATTTCCTCTCTCAGCTCCAAAAGAGCCCATGTAATCCTCCTCTTCCAGAAACTTCTACCTTTCAACCTCCAAGTCATTACAAGTGTAAACCCCTTTAATGAAACGTTCTTATCTTTTTTCCATTTCTCTGAATTTCTTGTTTTCAGGCGAGGGAGGCACAGTGTAGGTGAAAGGGGAAGAGGAGTCTAGTGAGAACCGGACCTTGGACCTCCAGGATGAATGACAGTTACCAATCAATACTCAGTTCCTATTTTCTTCTGTCTCAAATTTGCACAAAGTTGAATTTTATACTTTCTCAAAATTTGCACAAAGTTGAACCAACAAAACTCCAAAACTGTCCTTATTGTACCCTTACCTTCTCCAAGGAACTTTCAGCGGATACTGCAGTATTTTTCCTATTCTTTTCTTACATTGCTCCTTCCTCATACTTTTTGATTCTTTTTCTCATTTCACAAATATTTTATATTCTGTGATGCTTACTTTGATTTAATCCGTTTATTTTTGTTAGTTAGTTAGTTATTATGTAAATAAGCGTAGTCCTACATGGAATAGGAGTAGACGTAGGTATTGTATATTGTTATAGATAGGGGTACTTGTATTATAGTTAGGGCACATCAATAACATAATATTTTTCCCGTGTATTATTTCTCACATGGTATCAGAGTCGTGGTGGTGAGACACATCCGGAACCAGAACACAACAGAAGTCGCCGTGCCTCAATTTTCCGGTGACTTTTCACGCTTGTCTTGCGTCATCTCTCTCCATCAGTGTTGTGCAAAAAACAACACTATCAAAAGCTCTGTCATCGTCCGGCGACCAAACCCCACTCAACCTCTCCGACAGAAGCAGCCTCATGCGCCCTCACGCACCGTCAAAAGCTAAGGTTCCAGCGAGCACGTGAGCCCACGCGCCAGCAAGTACACCCTTTTCCGGCCATTTTTTGGAGAAGTTCCTTGAGGACAAATTACTCGCCTACTAATTCCGACTCTACCCCTCAAGTTTCATCACATTCCGACAATTTTTTATTTTCCGGCAACTATTGGCAGATTTCGGAGACTGTTTCTGTTTACGGCAGCTACAGTGTATTTTTTCTGCTGCTTGTTTACTATTTTTGTGACGTAACACAATTTTGGACCAACTTTGCCACCAATTTTGTGTGTTCGTAATTATTTGATCCAATCATGTCTCTCGGACTTGAAGCTTTTGGTTCCAAGAACAGTGGAGTTGGAAATTCAGCCTTTATGAAGGAACCCCTACTTGGAGGTTCAAATTATTTATCTCGGGCTTCGTCTGTGGAGTTGTGGTGTAAAGGTCAATGTGCTCAAGATCACTTAACCAAAAAGGCTAGTGAGGGAGATGAAAAGGTCAAAGCACAATGGGAAAAGATCGATGCTTAGTTATGTCGAATCTTGTGGGGATATGTTGATTCCAAATTGATGCTTTTGTTTCGTCCATTCCATGCATGTCATTTAGTTTGGGAAAAGGCTCGGACTTTATACACTAATGACATATCTCGTTTCTATGATGTGATATCGCGGATGACGAATTTGAAAAAACATGAATTGGATATGTCGACTTACTTGGGACAAGTACATGCGGTCATGGAGGAATTTGAGAAGTTGATGCCAGTTTCTACTAGTGTTGAAAAGCAACAAGAGCAACGACAAAAGTTGTTTCTAGTTCTTACACTCGTTAGACTTCCTAATGACCTTGATTTAGTGCGTGACCAGATTTTGGCTAGTCCGACTATCCCTACAGTTGATGAATTGTTCTTTCGATTACTTCGTCTTACTACAGCACCAAGTCACCCAATGATCTCATAACAGACCCTTGACTCCTCTGTTCTCACGTCTCAAACAGTTGAAAAAACGGGCATCTCAAACTATGGAGAATAGTCGAGGGGAGGTCGTTTTGGAAGATCTAGACCCAAGTGTTCTTATTGTCATAAACTTGGACACACTCGTGAAGTGTGCTATTCTTTACATGGTCGATCATCTAAAAATGCCTATGTTGCTCAGACCGAGACTACAGGTAACCGGGGATTTTCTTTATCTGAAAGGGAATATAATGAGTTCCTTCAGTATCGAGCAAGTAAGCAGACATCTCCACAAGTAGCCTTGGTTGCTCAGACTGATACTTCTGTTGATGGTAATTCTTTTGCTTGTGTTTCCCAGTTTAGTACTCTTAGACCATGGGTCATGGACTCAGGTGCTTCTGATCATATCTCTGGTAATAAATCACTTTTGTCGAATATTGTGTATTCACGGTCTCTTCCCACCGTTACTTTAGCCAATGAGTTTCAAACTAAAGCAAAAGGAGTTGGACAAGCTAATCCCATATCTTCTGTCACTCTAGATTCCGCCATTTATGTCCCTAGCTGTCCTTGTCGTGCAGTTGTTAGTCGTTTGACTTGTGCCCTCCATTGTGGTATATATTTTATTGATGATTCTTTTATTATGCAGGACCGCAGTACGGGACAGACGATTGGCACAAGGCGTGAATTAGAAGGCTTTTACTACCTTGACTCACTAAATCGCTCCACAGCATGTCTAGTTACAGATTCTCCGACCTAATTCACAGACGCTTAGGACATCCGAGTTTATCCAAGCTTCAGAAGATGGTGCCTAGTTTGTCTACATTAGGTTGTGAGTCGTGTCATCTTGGGAAACATACCCGAGCCTCCTTTCCTCATAGTGTTGAGAGTCATGCAGAGTCTGTTTTCTCTTTAGTTCATTCTGATATATGGGGTCCTAGTAGAGTCAGTTCAACCTTGGGATTCCGTTATTTTGTTAGTTTCATTGATGATTATCAAGATGTACTTGGCTTTTCTTAATCAAAGATCGTTCTGAGTTGTTTTCTATATTCCAAAATTTTTGTGCTGAAAATTAAAAATCAATTTGGTGTTTCTATTCGCACTTTTCGTAGTGATAATGCCTTAGAATATTTGTCCTCTCAGTTTCAGCAGTTTATGACTTCTCAAGGAATTATTTATCAGACATCTTGTCTGTATACCCTTCACCAAAATGGGGTTGCAACGAGAAAGAATAGGCACCTCATTGAGACTGCTCGCACACTTCTCATTGAATCTCGTGTTCCATTATGTTTTTGGGGCGATGCAGTTCTCACAGCCTGTTATTTGATTAATCTGATGCCTTCATCTTCCATCCAGAATCAGATTCCGTATTCAGTATTTTCTCCAGTCACCCTTATATTCTCTTCCCCCTCATGTTTTTGGGAGCACATGTTTCATTCATAACTCAACCTATAGAAAGATAAGTTAGTTCCTCGTGCTCTCAAGTGTGTCTTCCTTGGTTATTCTCGTGTTCAGAAAGCATATCGTTGTTACTCACCTCATCTTCGTAGGTACCTTATGTTAGCCGACACTACATTTTTTGAGTCTAAACCTTTCTTTACCTCTTCTGACCACCTTGATATATCTGAGGTCTTGCTTATACCGACCTTTGAGGAGTTTACTATAGCTCCTCCTCCACCTTCAGCCAAAGAAGTCTTACCCATACCAACAGTTGAAGAGTCTAGTATTGCTCCTCCTAGATCCCCAGCCACAGGAACACCACTCTTGACTTATCATTGTCGTATGCGCCCTGCATCCAGCCCAGCTGATTCACGTCTTGCACCTGACCCTGCTCCTACTGCGGACTTGCCTCTTCCTAGTACACCGATTGCACTTCGAAAAGGAATATGGACCACACTTAATCCTAATTCCCATTATGTCGGTTTAAGCTATCATCGTTTGTCATCACCCCATTATGCTTTTATATCTTCTTTGTCCTCTGTCTCCATCCCTAAGTCTACCGGTGAAGCATTGTCTCATCCAGGATGGCGATAGGCTATGATTGAAGAGATGTCTGCTTTACATACGAGTGGCACTTGGGAGCTTGTTCCTCTTCCTTCAGGTAAATCTACTGTTGGTTATCGTTGGGTTTATGCGGTCAAAGTTGGTCTGGATGGCCAGATTGATCGACTTAAGGCCCGTCTTGTTGCCAAAGAATATACTCAGATATTTGAGCTCGATTACAGTGATACTTTCTCTCCCGTGGCTAAAATAGCATCAGTCCGTCTTTTTCTATCCATGGTTGTTCGCCATTTGGCCTTTCTATCAGCTGGACATTAAGAATGATTTTCTTCACGGTGACCTTGAGGATGAAGTTTATATGGAGCAACCACCTGGTTTCGTTGCTCGGGGGGGGGGGGGGGGGGTCTCGTTGCCTAGTATGTTGTTTGCGCCGGTTAAAACAGTCTCCTCGAGCCTAGTTTGGTAAGTTCAGCACAGTTATCCAGGAGTTTGGCATGACTCAGAGTGAAGTGATCACTCCATGTTTTATCGGCATCTTGCTTCAAGTCTCTGTATTTATCTGGTGGTATGTGTTGACGATATTGTTACTACCGGCAATGATCAAGATGGTATTACTAAATTGAAGCAACATCTTTTTCAACACTTTCAGACTAAGATTTGAGCAGATTAAAATATTTTTTAAGTATTGAGGTCGCTCAGTCTAGCTTAGGTATTGTGATCTCACAACGGAAGTATGCCTTGGACATTCTTGAGGAGACAGGAATGACAGGTTGTAGACCTGTTGACACTCCGGTGGATTCGAATTCTAAACTTCTGCCAAGACAGGGGGAGCCGCTTAGTGATCCTGCAAGATATAGGCGGCTGGTTGGTACATTAAATTATCTCATAGTGACTAGACCTGACATTTCCTTTCTTGTGAGTGTTACAAGTCAGTTTATGGATTCTCCCTGTGAAAAATAATTGGGATGCAGTTATCCGCATTTTTTGGTATATAAAATCGGCTCCAGGAAAAGGGTTATTGTTTGAGGACCAAGGCCATGAGCAGATCGTTGGATACTCAGATGCTGATTGGGCAGGATCACCCTCAGATTTTAACATAAGGCAATTTGGTATCTTGGAAGAGTAAGAAACAGAATGTAGTTGCTCGGTCTAGTGCCGAAGCAGAATATAGAGCAATGGCTATGGCAACATGTGAGCTAGTTTGGATCAAACAATTGCTCAAGGAGTTGAAATTTGGTGAAACAGCCAGATGGAACTTATGTGAGAAATTCGGTGTTCCATGAGAGAACTAAACACATTGAGATTGATTGTCAAGAGATTTTGCTACAAAGTTTGTGAGGTCGAATGATCAGCTTGCAGATATTTTTCACAAAGTCTTTCACTGGTCTTCGTATTAGTTATATATGTAACGAGCTCGGTACATATGATTTGTATGCACCGGCTTGAGGGGAAGTGTTAGTTAGTTGTTATATAAATAAGCATAGTCCTACATGGAATAGGAGTAGTGTAGGTATTGTATATTGTTATAAATAGGGTACTTGTATTATAGTTGGGGCATATCAATAACATAATATTTTTCCCGTGTATTATTTCTCACAATTTTACTTTCAAAAGCCATGGTTGAAGCCTGCGTTCTTCCAGATTCTCCTTTTTTCTATTCCTTTTTATTTGCCTCGTATTCTGTGATTTTCATTATATTAAGATATAATTCCTCCATTTCTACCTTAACTCTATGTTTGGCTCCAGGAAGGGGAGAGGGAGGGTGAAAGAGAGAAATCCAAATCGGAAAATCTTATGTGAAGGGGTAATTCTGACCCCTTTAAATTTACTTCACCTCCCTTACTCTCAAACAAGGGAAATAACCTTAATCCCCAGATTTCCTGCCGATCCTCCAGCCCCTCCACTTTTCGCCCCAACCATAGTATAAGAGCAATATTTGATGCCTATGTTCCTTGGAATCTCCACTAATCAAAAGAAGTCTTCCTAAATCAGCCATATTACAACAACAAACCCAGTGTAATCCCATAAATGGGTCTGAGGAGGATAGTGTGTACGCAGACCTTACCCCTACCTTATAAAGATAGAGAGGTTGTTTCCAAAAATCAGCCATATTAAAAAAATAATAAAAATATGCACACACCTGAATATGGTAGGAACTTCCAAAATATTGTCATTCACTTCCGCAGAAACACCCTCTTTACCAGGTGCACCTGAAAAAGGATCTGACTGCGAAAAACTGCCAAAATCCATATCTTCAAGGTTTGAACTGAAATTTGTTAGTTCTGCATTATTATTATTGTTGTCATTGTCTCTTTGCACCAGAACATTCTCAAATGGATCTTTGGTGGGTACAGAGGAGGTAAACGTATTCCACTCATCAAAGGAATCATCATCCCCATTTGCAGTATCATGTTTAGGTGCAGGTGCATTCTCAAATGGATCTTTGATGGGTGCAGAGGAGGTAAAAGTATTCCACTCATCAAATGAATCATCATCTCCATTTGCTGCATCATGTTTAGGTGCAGGAGCATCCTTGAAAGGATCTTTGATGGGTGCGGAAGAGGTAAAAGTATTCCACTCATCAAAAGAATCATGATCTCCATTTGCTGCATCATGTTTAGATGCAGGTGCATTCTGAGTCTGCCATGTGTCATCTTGAAACCAATCAATGCTAGTAGAGGGGTCGTTTGAACTATCTTGTAATTCAGCATCCTTAGGTCTCACAATTGGAAGAACTTCCTCAGCGTTTTGCGATGTTCCCGAATTTGCATTATCCCATAGGTCAACTGCCGGCCAATCATTAGCTGCAGGAGAAACTGCTGCAACATCCATCAGTTTTCCATCTATTGGGCCTTTTGGTGTTCCAAAAACTGTATCTAACTGAGCAGAAAGATCAATATCTGAGCCAACAAAAGTATCAGCGGATTTGGAACACTCCTGCTGGTTTCCAGAACTAACTGTGGAACTCATAGAGGTGCCAAATGAGGTAAACACATGCTGACCTGCAGAACCTATAGGAGTGCTAGATTTGTTAGACACATTTTCCTCTCCTGAATCAGCACTCTGAAAATCTGCTTTCCATCCAGAAAAGTCATTCGTAGTTTCGACAGTAGAAGAGGTCACAGCTCGTTCAGAGGATCTGTCATCAGTAGTTTGGACTGTAGCAGAGGTCACAGCCGGTTCAGAGGATCTGAGATTCTCAAACAAACTAAGATCCTCATGACTTCCATCAGTTTTATTTACTGCAGCCCCAATATTATCGCTTATGTCTGCCTGTTCTCTGTAAGCACTGGATATGTTTGTAAAAGAAAGGAAGTTGTCCAGGTCGACTCCAGTCGAACTGTAAGAGCTTTTGCTTTGCTCTAGCTTCTTATTTGTAATAGTGTTGTCTGTCTCCAACTCAGTTGGCCATCTAATTTTCAGATCAAGCAAATCTGACAAAAGAATTTCATCATGGGGTGAACTCGGTCCCTTGTTTACCTGATTCTTTTCAGTAGCTGCTCCAACCTTCTCCTGGAAACCAAAATGAGACAAGTTCTTAACAACTACTCCTAATTCAACAAGTTTACAGTAACAACCAAAGTCTACTGAAAATGCTAAAGGGCTTAAGAGAAAAATAAATGAAAGAAGAATCAGTGTGCAACAGAGGTGGATCCAGGATTATAGTTAGTGGATTCGAGCTTACTCACCCACTAATTTTTGTGAAAATGAGTTCCGACGCAGCATATGTATTCTTAAAAGATATTCAAATATATAATGTGTATATAAACTTATAGCTCAAGCTGAATCGTGTCTGCTAAGCAAAGCTAAAGAAATATATATCGAGCCATAGGACTGAAGCATAATAACCAAAACAACACAAAAAAGCCCAATCTTGCATAATCGTCCAATAACAGGAAGCAAGAGACGTATTGAGATAGAGCAATGAGCAAATTTTGTGTGTTTTGAGATAGAGGAAGAGAAACCTGACACAATCTATCAAGGAGGATGAGGATTTTAAGTTAGTAGATTCAGAATATCACTGCACCCACTAAAATTTTGTGCACACACTGATTCTTGGTCATGGATTAGAATCTATAATATATTTGTTTTTAAGAAAATCTCAACTATATAGCTCGAGCCAAATCCGCCCCTACTGAGCAATATATAACCCAAAAGAAAGGAAACCCAAAAAAGCTCTCATCCTGTATTATCATTGTCCCATAACTGAAAGCAACTAACATACCCATATAAAGCAATAAAGCAAATTGTCTGTGTTCGAGACAAAGTAAGAGGGAACCCACATACTGATCCACAAGGATCTTAAGTCAGTAGATTTGAAGTACCAATGGACTCACTAATTCTTGGTTCACATGTCGTGTAATATATATAACTTTAGAAAGTCTTCAAATATAGATATGTAGCTCAAGTTGAATCCGCAAAACATAATAAAAAAGATCTAATCTTTCACTATCATTCTTCCATGGCAGGAAGCAACCAACACACTCGTATAAATCAGTGAGTAAATTGCGGGTATTTGAGACAAAGGAACAGAGACCCAATACACCATATCAAGGATTCCAAGTACCACAGCAATCACTAATTCTTTATCACTAGCTTGGAACCGAGTATAAACATATATTTCTTAACAATGACTCAAAAATATTCTCAAGCCGCCGCCGCCGCCCCAAAAAAAGAAAAAAAAAACTTGCATTATCATTCCTTCATAACAGGAAGCAACCAACACACTAACATATTGCAATAAACAACATGTGATTCAGAAAAAAAAAAGTATAATAGACCCAACATACCGATCCATCGAGACGAAGAGCTTGGAGAAACCATTGATAGCCAAGAGTGGACTTAAAGGAAATAGGGTCAGGAGCAACTTCAGCATTTTGGTGCAATTTCTGACCGCAATATATGCAAATCAAGGACTGTAGCCCTCTGAGAAGCTTGCCTTGGCAGTGTTTACAGCGGAGATAGGGTGGTGAAGCGGCGACGGAGGCGGAAAGAGAAGGCATGGCCGGAAGTGAAGCGTCATCTGGATTGTAGTCGGGTAGACCCGCTTCGGTTCGGGTCGAGATCTTGGCTTGCTGGATCAGATCATTTGGGAGCTCCAACGCCATTGTCGAGCAAAGGGAACAGAGTGGTGTATGTTTAGTTAGGGATTTTTTGTGTTCAGTTCAATCACTTGAATCTACTATCCGTTCCCAGATCATGTACATTAGTACTTCTTTTTCTTTTATTTATTTTGGTCCTTTGGCACATTCGCTTTAGTATTTTTACAGGGAGAAAATAAAAAGTAGCCTTAAAAATAGTCATAGTTTTAAAAATATTTAAATTTAGTCACTTTTTCATATAAAGCTAAAATTTAAACAAAAATACTCTTAAAAATCCAAAAATATTCCAGCATAATATGTTGGAGTTCGAATTTTTACATATGAGCTTTCAGCATAATGTGTTGGAATTTCATAACGTGCTGGAATTCCAACATAATATGCGGAAGTTTATATATAGGAACTCCATAATCTCGCATATTATGCTGAAACTTTTCGTGTGCTGGAGTTCCAACATAATATGCTGGAAGCTCATACGCAGGAGCTCCATAATCCCACATATTATGCTGGAACTTTTCGTGTTTTAGCAAAATAGTGTTATTGGCCAAGACTGCAGCTTTTAGTCATTTGTATGAGGAACTCGAAGGCCGAGGTGGGGATAAATGGTTGTTCATGTTAGCCAAGGCGCAAGAAAGGAAGGCGCGTGACTTGGACCAAGTGAAGTACATCAAGGACCACGAAGGTAGAGTTTTGTTGTATGATGGGCTTATCCGTCGGAGATGGTAGACCTACTTCCATAGTCTCTTGAACAATGAGGGAGATAGGAGCATTGTACTGGGTGATTTGGAACTCTCCGGGAGTCGTTGTGACTTCGGGTATTGTAGGCAGATTAGAGTTGATGAAGTTGAGGGGGCTATGCGTAAGATGAGCAGGGACAAAGCGATCAGGCCGGATGAAATCCCGATGGAAGTTTGGAAGAGTGCAGGCAAGGCAGGCTTGGAGTGACTCACTAGATTATTTAATATTATTTTTAGAACGAAGAAGATGCCCGAAGAGTGGAGGTGGAGCATGATGGTTCCTGTATACAAGAACAAGGGTGATCCAAAGTTGCAATAACTATCGGGGTATCAAGTTGCTTAACCATACTATGAAAGTCTGGGAGAGAGTGGTAGAGCTAAGGGTGAGGAGGAGTGTGTCTATTTCTGAGAACCAGTTTGAGTTTATGTCGGGGCGTTCGACTGTAGAATTCATCCACCTTTTTAGGAGATTGATGGAGCAGTATAGGGAGAGAAAGAAGGACTTGCATATGGTGTTCATCGACTTAGAAAAGGCGTGTGATAAAGTTCTGAGGGAGGTTTTGTGGAGATGTTTGGAGGCTAGAGGTGTACATGTTGCCTACGTTAGGTTGATTAAGGACATATATAATGGAGTAAAGCACCGAGTGAGGACGGTGGGTGGGGACTCGGACCATTTTCCGATTATGATGGGGTTGCATCAGGGGTCGGCTCTCAGTCCTTTTTTGTTTGCTCTGGTGATGGACGTACTGACGTGCCACATCCAAGGGGGGGTGCCGTGGTGCATGCTATTTGCAGATGATATTGTATTGATTGACGAGATGCGAAACGGTGTGAACGCGCAATTAGAGGTATGGAGACAGACCCTGAAATCTAAAGGTTTCAAGTTGAACAGGACCAAGACAGACTAATTGGATTGTAAGTTCAGTGGCAAGACTCAAGGAGGGAAAGGGGAGGTGAGGCTGGACTCGCAGGTCATCCCTAAGAAAGGGAATTTTAAGTACATTGGGTCTATTATTCAGGGGGGTGTGGATATTGATGAAGATGTCACACATCGTATTAGGGCGGGATGGATGAAATGGAGACTCGCTTCCGGTGTTTTGTGCGACAAGAAGGTACCACCGAAACTTAAGGGTAAGTTCTACAGAGTGGTGGTCAAACCAACGATGTTGTAAGGGGCTGAGTATTGGCCAGTCAAGATCGCTCATGTCCAGAAGATGAAGGTAGTAGAGATGAGGATGTTGAGATGGATGTACGATACACCAGGTTAGATAGGATCAGAAATAAGGTTATTCGCGACAAGGTGGGTGTGGCCCCTATTGAGGACAAGATGCAGGAAGCGCGGCTTAGGTGATTTGGTCATGTGAGGAGGAGGAGCACAGACGCCCCGATGAGGAGGTGTGAGAGGTTGACATTGGAGGGCCTACAGAAAGGTAGAGGTAGGCCAAAGAAGAGGTGGAGAGAGGTGGTCAGGCAAGACATGGCACAACTTCAGCTGACCGAGGACATGACCCTTGATAGGAAGGTATGGAGGTCGAGGATTAGGGTAGTAGAGCAGGTAGTCTAGAGTATTCATAACAGTAGTATTGGCACACAGTCTCGCTTTCTGTTGGTAGTAGGTTTTTATGACTAACCGTTGTTTCCTTCATTGTTGATCATCTTACTGTCTTGTTTTTTTTATTCTGCTTTTATATGGCTTTTTGGAACTATCCCTTCTTGTCTATATTTTCATTAATGTGGCGCTTATGCTTTCCTAGGCTGAGGGTCTATTGAAAACAATCTCTCTATCCTCACAAGGTAGGGGTAAGATCTGCGTACACACTACCCTCTCCAGACCCCACGGTGTGGGGTAACACTGGGTATGTTATTGTTGTTGTTGTTGTTGTTGTAGTGTTATTTTTTGATGACTTTGCAAATGCTGGCTATTTTTCGATTATCAGTCCGAAAACTAGCTAACATGTTCTATTTTCACGTTTTTTATTCATTCTTTCCGTTTTAATTTGGATCTCTACTTTCCGTTTTTATTCATGTTTTTCTTCGGAAAAGGGTTAGAAATGCCCCAAAACTATTGAAAAAGGTTTTAAAATATCCTTCATCTATTTATTAGGCTAAAAATACCCCTTCACCCACCTTTTTGTTCACTTATGCCCTTTGACCGTTAGGTCAATGCTGAATTAAAATAATAATTATTTAAATTCACGTGACAACTTCTTATTGGCCAAATTAAAACATCCGACCCATTAGAAGATTCACCCATATCTACCAATTTTTCGTACTAGCCCACTTCAAACACTAACTCGACCCGAACAAAAAGTTCAATTAAAAAAAAAAGGCCCCATTTCTATCAAACTCCATGGAACAAAAGCTCCATGGAAGTTGCAGTGAACATATAAACGCAAATTTACTACGTGGTTTTTTTTCTTCTTGTTATGGCATCTAGATCAATTTGCATGATAGACACAAATTGCATTATATTCAAGATGAGTTTAATTTAATAATTTTCACATAACGAAATGATCTTAAAGTGATTGTTTGGAAGATAATATACCGTTGGAGTACCCCTAGTTTTCCATCCCACATTATTATTAAGAAAATCATTGGTTCATTCATGCTAGGTTTTTTTTGTTTGTTTAATTTGTTCATGAATCTTTATTCGACGATAATGCTATACATGAGATTAATCAAGAAAATGAACACATGTAAATACATGGGTTAGATGGAAGTGAGGCGTCTTTTTTTATTTGAACTTTTTATTCGGGTCATGTTTGGGGAGGGTTAGTCCGAAAAATGGGTAGATATGGGTGGGTCTTTCTAATAGGTTAGATGTTTTAATTTCGACCAATAAGAAGTTGCCACGTGGAATTTAAATAATTATTTTTTAAATTCAGCATTCGTAACGGTCAAAGAGCATAATGGATGGAGGGATATTTTTAGCCCAATAAGGATGGAGAGTATTTTTAGACCTTTTTCAATAGTTCATGAGCATTTTTGACCCTTCTTCGTTTTTTCTTTCTTAATTCCTGTCACAACAGAGAGTATTGTTTATCAGTTTTAACTTTTATTCGAACATCGTTTTAACTTATAAAGTAAAAAAAAAAAATTATAATGTCGGATCATTCAATAGATATATGTAATTCTTGTAAAAGTGTGATTTGTAATCTTGAAAATAAAACAAGCTATTTGTAACTAATTTTTCTCAACACCTTTTTTCCCCTAATTCTTTTACTTTTCCGGTTAAAGTAATAGGTACCCCTATATGTGAGAGATTTCCCCCATAGTTCTCGATGGAACAAATAGACTTTTACTTGAATTTAATTTATGCGTCTGATGAGATATTTAACTCTTTAGACATGGAAATACAATTCCCTTGTCCAAATTCCAGAGGAAAAATGACATTGTAGTGTATAGCCGCTGTAAAAATAATAACCGAAAATGTATAAAATATTTTTTGCATATATATACATTCTGTATATTATATACAAAAATTATACAAGTTTTATACACTTTTTTGGCTACCATATAAACTATTGTTTCTGGCACAGGCTAAAAGTGATAATACCCCAATTCCAAATATGGTCGATCGGACCTCGACCTCTTTTCTCAATTCATAAATCGCAAAATAAGGAAATAATCAAATATATAATTATAGCGAACAGTGATGAAAAAATTAGTACATTGTCAGTTGGTACTCTTATTCTCTTAAGATCTAAGGATGGTTTTTGGGACCAAAAGAGATGAGCAAGTTCATGGTATAAATATAGTTTAATTTTATTTGGAGCACTAGAGACGGAGACTAGTTTACATCACCAAGAATTAGTAAAGCACTCAGGTAAAGAACATGTTATCACCACGCATAAAGCCAACTTATCAAATATACTTGAATAGTTCAAATCCTATAGCCTGTTTGGCCAAACTCTTTTTTTTTTGGGCCAAAAGTGCTTTTTTTTTACCAAAAGCACTTTTGGAAAAAAATTGAGGTGTTTCGCCAAGCTTTTGGAAGGAAAAAAAGTGTTTTTGAGGAGAAGCAGAAAAAAGTAACTTCTCTCCAAAAGCACTTTTCTGAGAAGCACTTTTGAGAAAAATACACTTAGAAGCAATTTTCAAAAGCTTGGCCAAACACTAATTACGGCTCAAAAATGTTTTTCAAATTAATCAGCCAAACACAAACTGCTTCTCGCCAAAAGCACTTTTCAAAATAAGCTGATTTTAGAAGCTTGGCCAAACGGGCTACTAGATTGATAGCTTATGATTATAGGATACTTCAGATAAATCTCCAACATCTCCTGGAAATATTTCTGATCTCCTTTGACTTCTCATTTCATGAATTCAATGCAACACAGCTTTTACAATCCTTAATCTGAGAGAGGAAGAGAAAGGACGATTTCCACGAGAGG